CCCAGGGGATCAACGCCATCGGATCAGCGCAACAACACTCGGCGAGGTTGGTTAGCACAGTGGGATTATGCACAGCAAATGTGCCAGTGTTAAATTAACACTGCATGATGTCTATATGTGTCCACACCATTCAGTGTTACTTTTAACACTTTTCAGTGTGCAGTGAGTGTTGTTTTTAGTGTTCATATTTATTAACTCTTATAGTGTTCAATTTACAACCTAGAGTGTTGTCACTCTCCACCTCCACATATCTGCCCCATTTTAATATGCGAACAAGAGATCATGAGGATCAGAAGAGCCGTCCCAAATATACACACCGTCATGAGAAAGACCTTACAGCTTTTTCTTGTTTTGTTTTAAAGTTTTGTTGGCTTGGTTCTGACTAATATTGAAAGTTAAAGAGCTGTGGTCTTATAGCATGTTGTTATTGTATCAGAGAAAAGACTCTTGGAGATGTACAGGACGGGTCTCCAGATTGGTATAGATATTAATAGTGTGGCAGTATGTTTGACTGCCAGCTTTGCCTTTGGATGATTAACATATGTGGAAAGGTGTTAGGACAGTTGTGATACCCTTTTCTGTGCAGTTCCTGGTACCACCCACTCCCCTGTAGACCAGTGGTGCTGGATGTGTATTTGCATAGCATGACACAGAACTGTTTTTGACTTAATAGATTTTATTTTTAATCCACCGCGATTGTAATGAATAAGGCAAGAGAACAAAAACCACTGAAATGGCTCTTGCATTCCAGTCAAGGACCAGGTGGGATGGTTTAGTCTCTATGTCTTAACTAGAGAAGGCATTGGCTGGGAGGAAAATGTTATCGAAAATCAATTTTGTTTCTTTCCTAAGCTGCGCTGCCCACATCAACTAACATACACCAATACAGGCAACCCATAAAGAGAGGTAAAGAAATGTGGTAAAGACTAATATCAGTGCCATACCAGCCTCGATCTCGGTGGGGTTCTAAAAATTAAGCTTGATGAAAATCTTAATATTAAATGAGCAAAGTGATTTGATCTATCACAAGTTGTGGTCTAAAAGCAATGAGGCCACCACCCATTATATCTGCTTTAGTGGAAATACACTCCTTCAGCCCTTCTAAATAATTATGTGATGCATTCTGACAGAGTCTAGCTTCATAATCTATGTTTGGTGATTGGGGCCATACATTTCACACACTTTCATACCACAGGAAGTTTTTAACAAAGCTCTTTGATTATTAAGAGCTGAACTGAAATAAAACTTGCATAAAAAGAGAAAAGGCCATGTTGGTCTGAGTCTTTCTTATTATGGTGGGTTAGTAAAACACAGCAGCTGAATGCCCAAATGAGTTCAAATGAGAGCACATTAAAATGGGGCAGATATGGGCCACCCATTTTGTACTTGTGTGCCACCCATATGGGCTTGCAATTTGGGAAGAGGTGGAGACACGTTGTCCTAACACTCTAGGTTGTAAATTGAACACTATAAGAGTTAATAAATATTAACACTGTAAAAACAACACTCACTGCACACTGAAATGTGTTAAAGGTAACACTGAATGGTGCTCCACGGTGCCGTCCGTCACGCCGTTCTGTCTTGTCTGAGCGCGGTGCCCCGGGTGTGAATGTGACCCCCCACCCCCCGCACAAGTCGTTCTCACAAGGGGTGCTCACTGTGTCGAGGGCCCATCACCAGCCCCTAGTCACTCGCTCATTCTCTTGGTTTTTCTCTCTCTTTTTCTTGCTCTCTGTCTCTCTTCCAGTCTTTCTCACTCTTCCTCTTTTTGATTTCCCTTCTGTCTCTTTCACTCTCTTCCTGCCTGTTTTTCTTGCTCTCTTTTTCTCTCTTCCTACCTATCTCTCAATCACTCTGTCCCTCTCTTCCTGTCTTTCTCACTGTCTCTCTTTTCCTTCTCTCACTCTCTTTCTGTCTCACTTCCTGTGTTCTTTTCTCTCATTTTTTAAAAAGCTACAATTTGGCCGCCCTCTGACCTTTCTGAGGCGGCCCCATTGCCATGGCAACACTGTACATGTGAGGGTCCATCCTGTTCCCAGTGCTTATCCCAGTGCCGTCACAGGAAGTCAGTCATTGTCTGTCCTGTCCATGTTTCTGCGCATCTTTAGGATCGTGTGAGAGCTTGGGGGTGTGTGTGTGTATATGTGTGTGTGCGTACAGTATGTATGTATATGTGTGTGTGGGTTAATCCCTGAAAGAATGTAATAAACAACAAAGGAATGTATCATTCAACAGATCCACAAAGAAAGGCGTCAGCATGGTGTGAGGCGCGTACGGCCAACACGCACGGGGGTGGGGCTGGTAACACGGTCTGCAGCAAACATCATCAGAGGCAAACTTGCTGTCAGAACAGCTTAGCTACATGCGTCACATGTTAACCTGAAGGAGTGACCTGTGTGAATGGCATGTTTGCTTAACGTCTGCATGTTGCTCTCAGGGTGGCTGAGGCCAAGTCAAGGAGAGGCCTGGCCGGTCAGGTCTGTTTGAATTTAGGTTCAGCCTCCGCGTGCCGTGTTTGCGTATGAGGGTGCCTCCATGTGTGTTAGCGTGTGAAGGTGCCAGCATGTGTGTTAGCGTGTGTGTTTGCGTATAAGGGTGCCTGCATGTGTGTTAATGTGTGTGTTAGCGTGTGAGGGTGCCTGCATGTGTGTTAGCATGTGAGGGAGCTTGCATGTGTGTTAGCGTGTGTGTCAGAGCATGTGAGCGGAGCGTGAGCGAGGAGCGGAGCGGGCGGAATATGGTCAGAGCGCGGAGCGGTTTTTTAATTATGGCTGGAGCGGTCGCTCTTTCTTGCTCCAATTTCGCTCCGATACCGCTCACAGTACGACTATGAGGCGTGGCCAGATCTACCCAGAATTCATTTGTGCAATTATGAAGACTGTTACACAAATTGGCCAAGATGGAATTCACATTTCACAAAGGAAATTAATAGGAAAGTATTTCACAAAGGAAATTGATAGGTCATACAAGTGTACTATTCTTATCAAACGTATACAGATGACAATAATGTAGAGCACGAACAACAATGTGGTGAAACTGTTTCAGTGAGTAAAGATTTACTTTGGAATCTAAAAAGACACTTTTCTCGGAAACATGAGAGTGTGCTACGCGAACATGCGGAGGCTAGAGCATAACGTGAGTTTTATATGGTTGTGCAGTGTAGTATATCACATATATAAAGTAAATAAAAGTATAAAAGCATATAAAGTAAATATTGGGAATCAAATTAGTTTTATTCAAAGCAGCAAGTCTAATAGAATTTTTTTTAAATTCATGTAACACTGTCGATCAGTAAAATTTAATTTATATAGAGAGAGAGACGCAGCAGCAGCATCAACAGAAAAAAATTGAGTAATTTAAAACGTGGATGCTTAGCCTGTATATTCTTTAGGCTATTAAGCCTACTGATTCCTTTATTTTTAAGCCTATTTTTGTGTGGAATGCCATTGCCAAACCTGTCCGTTGTTGTCTATATGTTTTTTTTAAATAAATATTTTTTGTTCTGAGTGTCAATGTTGCCGTTGCTCACATTTCTTTATGATATAAGGCTTCGGTTTAAGGTGACATTTGTTAGGCATGCAGATTATTTGTCCCTCTTTTAAATTGGAGTGAGCTTGGAGCGATTTGACTGGAGCGGGAGGAAATTTTAGTGGAGTGAGGAGCGGTGTTGAGCGGAGCGGGCGGAGTCAACAGCCTCGTGAGCGAGGAGCGGAAATTCTCACCGCTCCACTCCGCTTACATGCTCTGGTATGTGTGTTAGCGTGTGCGGGGCCTGTCTACATCACG